GAATGCTTTTAGAAATACAAGCAGTTTAAATATTACTGTAAACAGGCATTATGGATACTGTATAGAAATAGAATTATAGATTCTGATTATGAGCTCTTCCAACAAAACTGTTGCTGCCAATGCATATGTTTAATGTAAGTTAATCCTGCCTGCACAGATTGCTCAATATGTATTTGCATATTGCTAAAGTCAGAAACAAAAATAAATATTATTGGCTGAATTTGTATCCTAGCCTTCTTTCAAAACAGCATTTTAATCTTACTAGAGCCCCTTAAAGTACAAAAAGACTATACAACAGTGACTTGTCCATGCTGATCCTTTTGTAGGTAGCCAGACACAAATATACCTCTCATTTTCTGCTACTGAGTACAGCACATCAGCTGCAGAACAACCTGTTATTCAGCACTGAATCTTTGAGAGTGAAACTGCTTAAAAGAACATGGCTAAAAAGGATTCTCTCAAATATGAGCTCTTGGGAAAAGATGAGAATAAGACATCCCCCAAAATGCAGATTCCACTTAAATCAGTAGAGTTCAATGATAACGTCCTGCTATATTTGGCACATTTGAAAAACTGAGTGTCCAACACTTAAGAAGTTTGCAAGCCAGATGAGAGTGAGGTAAGCTTGATAAATAAGGTATTCTGCTGTCACCAAAATAGTTTATTCCAAAAGCATGGGAGGCTCTTGTGCAGAGTTGCCTCCATCAGCCAAGCCCTCCTCCACAATACTCCATTGCGTGTTCCTCCCACCCTCTCTCAACATTCCAGAGTATGTTCCGTCCTCGTGCACCTGCTAAAGATTCCTTGTAATCTACAAATTTCCCAGAATGTTCTGATAAGTGTGGAGTTGCAGGTGCTAAGTGCGAAGGAGTAGTCATCCATGAACCTTGGAAATAGATGCATGCCCATTGAGCAGTACAAATGCAGAAACTGTAAGCAAAGTGTTTACCTTAATTTTCAAAAGCCCCAGAAGCCCAGCCTTCCTCAACTTTGTGCCTTCCAGACATGTTTGGGATGCAATGGCCCTGCTGAATGGGAATTCTGGGATTTGCTGTCCAAATGGCTCTGAAGACCACCAGGTTGGGGAAGGCTGCAGTAACTCATTCAGGAGATCCAGAAGCTGGAAACAGAATGAATTAAGAACCTTATTTATTTACAAGCTGGGTTTAAATATCACCTTACTGCTGCAAACTTACTCTGTTATTATTTACTACAAAAAGACACAAATACTGGGAAAGCTAAACAGTGGCCTTTTGTTCTGTTGGTTGTCATGTCAAGTTATTGAATTCTCAGGCCTGCATTTCTCCTCTTCTTATCTCCATCAAGGTCTTTAAAGAAAGAATTGTCAAGGTGTCTGGATATTTTAAGAAGGTAGTTACTATTTACCATTACTTGATGTATACTTGCTTAAGTTGCACAGTTTATCCTGAATGTAGAGAATTGTATATTTTCTGCTGTATTCCTGAGCTGGATTATTTTATGGAGACATGCATCTCTTAGTAATGCGAGTACAGCTCTCAACTAGCTATTACTTATCTAAATACTAGTCCTTATATTTTCAGTTGCTTTCAGAGCAACTGAAAATATTTAATGCTGGAATTATGCACGCACAGACACACCCCCCCCTCAAGAAAGTGAACCAGGGAAGCTTCATGACTTCCAGAAATCTCTACCAAAGGGAAAAGATAATAACCATGGTCTCCTGGTTTTTTGTTTTTTTTTTTCAACCTGCTTACATCATCTCAGTAAGAGTGGTAAGAACAGTTGGAAAATGGAAGAAGAACTTGTCTGTTTTGACTCTGGAGTTGTGGAATATACTTCCTAATGAGATATATACATTCCCATCCGTCTCCTTTCTTTCCTTCCTTTCTTCCTCCTCCTCTTCCTCCTTTTAAAGAAGAAGAAAAAAATCTCTGAAAAAGGTTGTTGCCACAGCAGCCTTTTCAGGAGAGGTTGATGCTTTCATTTTGATTTGATAAATGTATATTATAAATTTAATTGTACCATATTTTTATTATATTGTAAGCCACCAGATTGTGAGACAGATAAGATGAGATATAAATTTTTGAAATAAATAAACTTGATCCTCTCAGGAAAAATGAACTACTTTCCATATAGATTTTCCAGTCTTTGTGTCTTTTTCCCTCATGGCTCATTATTTCATGCCTAACTTCATCCATTAGCACATGTGGGGGTGTGGGGTGCACTCAAAAATCCAATGCACTTAAAATAACTTTTTCGCTTTAAGTACATGCATGCAAACAATTCTAAACTGCACTATGCCAGACCCTCATGTGAATGGGGTGGGAATTATTTCCCAAACTGTACAGTTTGGAAGACTTGATCAATTTACAAAAACTTGCTGTTGCTGAAGATTTCAGAATGGTTCACTGGGGAAATTCCTCAAAACACGTGCTCATCTGTTTAGAGCAGACTGGTACCAGAAGAATGGGATCCATACTGGGATTTCCCACCAGTTTCCTGAAATGAAATCAGATTAGCTCTAAAAACTGATTCTATGAACCAAAAACAACTACAGTAGTGTATCTAGTTTCACACAGATTTTAATTAAGATGGTAACAGTGAGATTTTAGTTCACCTACTCAGTCTAGATATATTAGTTTACATGGGGGAAAGGGGCAGTCTTCACATCCACATACTGTAGAAAGGAAAAGTTATTACAAAGAAATGTGTAAAAACTTTATCTATACATGTTAATGGCAAATATTTGGATATAAATTAAGTTTACAGTGAAGTGCCAAGGAATAAAACTTTATAGATCTATCTACCTCTCACCTCAGAGTTGATTATGTCTTTGGTATCTCAGTTCTAACCCACCTGTCAGGGTTAAACTCAGTTAGATTGGCTTCCAAGTAGAAGTCAGGCAACTGAATTTTGAATTAGGGTATTAAGTGCAAAATCCTATGCATATTTAGACAAAAAATCAGACATTCTTCTAAACATGACAGGATTGCTTCCTAAACTGATCAGCTGCTGGATCAAAACATGTTTACCATGCAGCCTGATTCTGTGCATGTTAACCTTTAGGTCAGCCCCACTGAGTTAAAGATGTATACCCCTCAGTAGATGATTGTAGTCAGGGAAATCCTGCAACCAAAATTCTAAAACTGCTTTGGCTTAACTAATTTCTATTTCTTTTGTATTTAAAATTCTACTCACTGACTTTATTTATTATTTATTTATTAAAACATTTCTATGCCACCCCTTGCCGAAGCCTCGGGGCGGCTCACAACATAAAATACAATAAAATACAAAAATAACAATATAAAAATAACAATATAAAATAAATAACAATATAAAATAAATAACAATATAAAAGAAGGAAAGGAAAAATGCAGGGTTTCAAATAAGCACTATCAAATTTTTAGGGGCACACAAGTTAAATAAAATATGCATTTCCTGTTGTGGGGGGACACATATGTGTGCACCCCCTAATCTTTCATATCTTTTGCTTCAAATAATCCAGCCTGCATTCTGGAATGTTAAGTGTTCTAGAATCAAGTGGAGTGACATAACCATATATGATCACCACTAAAAATAAATGCATTTTTTCTTTTCATTATGTTTGATTCACAGGCATTCAGTGAATAAGGATTGTGTAGCCATGGATCCAGTGGCTGTTGAGTGGCTCTTGAGAGTCCAAAATCAGTGAATGTACTCCAGATATATTTGCTAATCTCATGGAATTATATCATTCCATGAGTATAAAATTATTGCATGGTTAAGAAATACTGGATGCTGTTTTATTTCTAGCCATTACGTTTTAGTTCAATGGTTTAATGGGATTTAATCTAGAAATTTGCAAGAAGTCTACATAGAAAGTTGGAGAAAGGATTATTCAATTAAAAGGCTAGAGTCCACTTCAGAGTATGCACGTGTTAATTTTAATGCGCTGCATCAAATCACAGAGATCCAGGCATTGCTAGCATCATATTTAAAACATGGTACATTGAACTAATACGTGATCTGGAGGACTAATGAGGCAAATTAAGTTACAGGTATGAATTTTACATTAAATGGATTAATATTATATGCCATGGAGGAATTTTAAATAGCCTATCACCATGAATTTTTAATAGTTATGTGTTCTAATTTAATGTTGCAAGGCAATTGCTTTTCTTAAGGAAAATGCTCCCCCCCCCATCTCCAACTTTTCTGCGTCCAAGTTTGGAAATAATCATTGTCTCCTATTGACTGTGGGTGTCAATAAAACGAGGGGAGGGGAGCGAATCTCTAAAGGGATGAAAATGTATAGTAGAATCCGCCGTCCCCCACCATCTCCTGCAGGGACTATCTGGAGAAGTGATAATTACTCCGCCTGAAGAATAAATATGGAGAGCCCCCCCCCAAAAAAAAAGGGGGGGGAAAGGAAGGGAACGGACGTGATAACAATCGGCCATTGCTTCTCGTCAGTTTCAGGGCTGGATCACGGGAAGAGCATCTCCTGTCATTACGCTGCGTGCTGCGAGGGCTCTACAAGCCGCTGGGAATAGCCACATCCAGGCAAGCCACAGGCAAGCGTGAGTGAATTCCATTCGCATTCCCGCAGTTCTTCATAAGGAACTTCTTTTTCCCTCCCCGCCTGCTTCTCTCCTCCCTCGGGTTCAACAGCCTTCCCTTTCCTGAGACCCTACACAGCGTTTGACAGAATGGAGCCGCGTGCCATTGGCTAGCGCGATGTTCCATGGAGGAACCTGCCGCTCCTGATTGGCTAAAGCGCGGCGCCCTATTCTCGTGCTTCACTTTTTTTTTTTTTACATACTCATCTCCCTCCCTTACTCCTTGTGTCTCAACCACCCGCTCGTTCTTTTTTCTTTTTCTTTTTTTTCTCCTTGGGCCCGGGCAGCGCGCGCCCCGCCCAGCTTTCACCCCGTGCTATATATAAACGAAGACGTTGCAAACTGGACTGAGCAGAGGCGGTTTGGGACCGGAGTTAGAGGTAGGGAAAGGCAAAGCAATCAGCCGGCTACATTGCCCGGGTAGGTGGCGGAAGGGGATTTTTTTTATTGTTTTCTTTTTTACACGATTAATTCTTTATAGCACCCACCATCACCTTTTTTTTTCCTTTGAAAAACCCAGAGCTCGTGTGCAACCTCAGGCAGCTTCCACATCGCTCGATTTGCCTGGCAAAGCACGGCTGCATCGCCTCCTTTCTTGTTGCACTGCGGTTGGGAGCTGCTCGGCTCCGGTGCCCTAGGGCGGTCGCTCTGCCCGCCTTGGCTCTTACACTATGAAAGCAGTGAGTCCCGTGCGGCACCCCAGCAGGAAGGCGCTGGCTAGCGGCTGCTGTTGCGGAGGCGGCGGCGACGGAGGTGGCGGTGGTGGCGATCTGGCGCTGCACTGCCTGGCCGAGCACGGCTGCTACAAGGGGAGCCCGTCGGCCGGCGAGGAGCCGCCGGCTCTGTGCCTTCAGTGTGATATGAATGACTGTTACAGCCGCCTCAGGAAGCTGGTGCCCACGATTCCGCCCAACAAGCGGGTCAGCAAAGTGGAGATCTTGCAGCATGTCATCGACTACATTCTCGACCTGCAGCTGGCCCTGGAGACGCACCCGGCTCTCCTCCGACAGCAGCAGCAGGCGCCCCCGCTGCACCCGGCAAGCTACCCTGCAGGGCCTCCCCGAACCCCACTTACAGCGCTCAACGCCGACCCGGTAAGAGCCGCGGCGAGGATGGGCGCTCCTCTTCGACATCCAGCGGCGGGGAGGGGAGGGGAGAGGCGGGTTGGGCAAGATGAGCGCACACGCTGCGCGCAACTCCGTCTGCTCAGCCAGAGGTGGAACGACGACCCTCTGTCTGGAAACAAGATGAATTAATGGTCGTGACCCTGCCTGGGAGCGGATCCTGACCCACCCCGACTTGCCGTGCCATGCTTGTGAAAGGCGTGGGGGGCACGGGCGCAAAATAGAGCCCTGCGGTTACGATCCGCCAACCTGTTAAGCCGAAGTGTTTTCACACGGGGAGAATATCTGGGCCCCGTTCATTGATTGGTGTGGTTGACGGTTCGAAGCAGCGCCAAAAAGCCGGAGTGGTTGTAGATCTGTTACGAATTATGGGCCCCGTCCGCATGCCCCCTGAGCAACTTCCCCTTGCCATTTTCGCCGCGCTTCCACCTGTTTTAGCCAGTGCGCGAACCTACTTGTGTCGTTTTTCTCTCTCGTACAGTGCGTGGCACTCGATGGTAGCACAATGCGTGAAAAATGCTTTAAGAATCGTTTGATTTGGTATGTGTGGGAGCGAAGCTCCAGGAAGCCAAACAATACTGTTTAGTTGGCTTGACGATTGCAGAGCAGATGTGTTTAACTCAATATGAAATGCATCTTAACGGGATGCATCTGCATGTGTCTGAGGAGTGGATGCATTAACAACTACACACACTGCACAGCAAATAAGGTGCCTGTGTATTTATACCTGTTTGTACACATACAGACTGTTGCCAGGCACTGCCATTCAATAACTCTACATAGGCATTCTGCAATAACTGGTGTGCGCTAAAGTGTATCTGGTCTTTTGTATGTGAACTGCACAGATTATTTGCCTGCTCATTGAATGTGCCTTATGTACAAACAATTTTCATTTATCTCAGTGGTTCTTACTACTTCCCCACAGACCTAGTGAAGGAGATATGTGCAAATTCTAGGCTTCCTCGTGTGTAGACAGCACAGTATGTCTGGTTGTGCAACAATACATGTTTTACTGGGCCCCACCAAATTGCTGAGACAGATATTTGCAGGCAAATAGTGATACTCAACCCGTCCTCATCCCCACTTCAGGTGTTTGTGAGTTAGGATCAGTGTGTTTACAACTAAGCTGTTGGAATATAAGTGTTCTAGAAGAGGATAAGTAGGGGTGTGTGTGGTTTGAGTGATCAACTTTAGGGTATCTGGAATATAGAGTATTGTCATCCTCCATTATTTACTAACCCCAGTTTTTGAGGATATACTCAAAAAAAACAAACGTGTGCCAGATAGTTCAGTCTTGGAGCTCTCCGGAATCTCCAGATGCTTGTGTTGGACACCTTTGCTGGGCTGAGTCACAGTGGGACAGGATCTGATCCTCCTTTGCATTCGGATGCCCTGTGGGTCTGCAGCGCAAGAGTTCGTCAGTGGGCAGCTTGCAACCTGTCGCTAACTGGGGCGAAGTCTGCAGGGAGCAGTACTCTGGGACTTTCATCGCCCTTGTGTGAGGCAGTGCCTTGTTTTCCCCTGTTGCAGGCCTTCTCGGTGTGCTGGAGAAGCTGCAGCTAGCCAGACAATGAAGGTTGTGTATTAATAAGCATGTGGTTTGCCCTAACTCTAATGTCACGCTCCTGTTCTGTCATTGCTGTGCAGGCTGGTACCGTTAATAAGCAAGGGGACAGTATTCTGTGCCGCTGAACTGCACTTCCAAGGTGAGTATGGTCTTTTAAGACTGGTACATTTTCAGAGCTGAGCACAGGGTGACTGCTGTTTCGGTCAGCATCTGGAAACCCCATTGAAATCAATAAGATTTATTCATTCGAAGTAAAGGTAGTTTGGACCAGGTTGTGGTTCTTCTCATTCAAGCACTCTGGTCTTGGTACCCTTACTGGAAATCAAATAGGACTTGAAATAAGTTGGAAAAAATTTAAAAAAATACGTATTTTGAATGAGGATGGTAGCTTGCAGCCCACCTACTAATTTTGCCAGAGTACTTCAGTTCAGACTAACATAATCCCATTAGTTTACATTTTGAGTCATCTGGCTTAAAATGGTTTTGTGACTCAGGCTGGCATGTAGCTTTTAATCATATTTTCTGTTTAATTCTACATATTTACTTGAAGAGGGCAGGTTCTTGGGAACACATTGCTTAATAAATGGTCAGGATCAGTTAAATAATATGTTTGGGAGGTATAATAGACAAAATGTAAGAAAATGCACTTTTTCATGTTGCCTAAAGAAAAAGAAATGTTGCATTCAATCTAACTATAAAGGCTTTTAACTGATTCATAGATCAGACTGCCTCCTTTGCATATTTCTTCGGAGTTCCCTTCCTTTCTATAAAAGCAATGAATAATACATTATGGAAATGAAGTTGGTTGTCTTCAATGGATTCTTCTTTGGCAGCAAGGCAGTGATCTCCACCCCCTTACTTGGAAGTGGAGTCCCAATTTAACTCCATGTGACTTGCTTCCAAGTAAATATGCATAGGATTGGGGTGCAGAATTTTCTTGCCCTGGTGCCTGTTTGGCATTTAATAGAGGTGGAGGAACAACTAAGAGGACATTTTTCAAAACTCCTTGTCTCTCTTTCATTCTCTGGAGAGCTTCTAGCTTGGACTTGCAGCTGTGTATTCCTCTGCTTGGCCTAGCCTGGGAGCTGCGGTTGTTGTTTGACCTGGTTTGTTTTGGGTTGTTGATCAAGCATGTCTTCTGTTTTGTTGGTGGCGCCAGTCAGTCTGGAGCAGAATTGTTCACACACCCCCTCTATTCATTCCTCTTCCACAGGTGTGCAGCAGGCAGATCCTGAGCCAGAGAAGCAGAAAGAAAGACACATTAGAGAGGGAGGGGAAAAAAGAAGTATCAGCCACTGGGCAAAAGGAAAAAAAAATTTGTCTCCTCCAGAATTCTTTCCATACTTTAGAGAGAGAGAGAGAATGAGAAAGAGAGCATTTTTCACCACTTTGCACGTTCATAGCATTTTACACATGTCTCTTAACTCTTGTTTTAGATCAGATGTTAATTGTACTCTTGTCTGGGCGGGAGGGATTTAAATCTTCAGTATAAGTGTGGTTCTTCTGTTGGATAGAAGATCAAGGGCAAATTGGAGTTTAGAGGTATAACTTTAATGCGCTGAGCAGCTCCAATCTGAAGCTTTACTAATCTACCAGAGGCATTGTAGATAACTTTTGTTTTGACATCTATTGTTTAAAATAGATGATTTTATTGTCTCCTGAGGGACTTTCTTCTCCCTGCAGGAGTGTTACATATTGTATAGCTACAAATAAGTGACATTTCATACTATGTATATAGAGAGAGGCTCTATAAGTGTGAGAAAAGAAAATGCTTTAATAGACCTACTGTAATTATAAAATATTTTTAATTAAATATTTTTTGTAAATATTATAAAGCTGTGTATGTTTTTTTTAATCTATGGGAATATTTCTTTAGGGAAAACTGTTTCTGGCTCAACTGCAGAACTGCTAATAATGACAATATATTGGAAGTTGAGGGATGTCTTCCACCCACCCCCAACCCCCTTAGATTGAGAAGCTACAGCTGTAGATCGTATTGGTCCTGCATGAATGCATGAGATGTCTAACCACAAATAAACTTGTTCGGAGTCCATACAGATGTGTTTTTCTTTAATCTGAATTTAAAAGATGTTTGTACCATGCGGTTTTGAAATTACATTTTTTGTCTGTTTGGCACTGGGGTTTATATTATGGTATATGCGAAACAGCATTGAAATGTAAGGATTTTGTTTGTTATTAACTGAGATTACTACTTTTTCAGTATGGATACAATGCTGAGATATAATGCGCATTTATAAAATCTTGTGTTGCCTAAAAAATTCACAAAATACTGAACATTTTTGTAACACCTAAGAGGGGATGCTACCCCAGAATTTTTAGCCCTGTGGCAATCTTACCTTGGAAAAACAGTTTTAAAAATATTTCTGCTTATAACCAAAGGGCAAACTATCAACAAATGTACAGTTGCTGTTTTCTTTCTTCCAAAGACTATTGATACTGATACTTCAAGGGTAGGGTGGGACAACAGGGAAGATTTAAGTCGAATTACTTGTGTAAGACAATTTCAAAGAACATGATGTAGACCAAAAACAAACAAACAAACCACCAGATGACTGTATCAAGATTATTTTTCTAATATACAGCAGCATTCATTTCATTGCATCTCTGTTTCATCTGAAAATCCTGTTCGGTCTCCTATGTGTAACTTTACATGTAAACATTAAACTAGATTGATGTGCCTCGTGCTGATTCGTTTCTTTCTTTCTTCAATACTTCCAAAGCACTCTGTACTTCTGTTTTACTTTTCTGGTATGTGGCACTTAATGTTAATCTTAAAATTTATATAGTCAAGTTCCTCCTCCTGTCCAGGCTCTGAGAAAGTTACACAGTTTGTATGATCATCAGTGACCCACACACCAGTGAGATGGGATTTTCACAGGGTGGGTGAATTAAGTAGGATTTAATTGGGTGCTTTGTAGATTACTAGCCAACTGTGTATAGCAGGGTCTGCTTGATATAAAAAAGTGAAATGGGAGGATTTGTTGCAGACTATAAAAAACCCAAAGTACTGGGGTCTGGGGATCTTTTATTAAGTTGAATAGTTACTGCTATTCTTTTGTTTCTATACCTCCCAACAGCTGAAGCTCTCTTGGCAGTTAAAAGCAATTCATTAAAAATCACAGCAATTCCTTTACAAGGAAATAAACATACTAACAATACAATCCTATGCAAGTTCAGACAGTAAAAGTCATACGTCCCAGTATGCCCAAAGGAGGGGCATGCTGGGAATTGTAGGCTTTTTTTCTGTCTGTATTTGCATAGGATCACACCTTGAAGCAATTTAACTATTGATAAGTGTGATAAAATATCAACAAGATCATTTTCTTACAATGCTTAGGGGTGAGATCAAACTAGCCAAAATGATAGCTCACATTTCACAAACACAAGTGTAGAACATTGTACACTGCAGATTATCATTATTGATTAACACAAATTTATTGAAGGAATGGAGTATGAAAATATTACTAAGAGCCTAAACCTCTGAGCTGAAATGTTTGTATTATGTTGGCCTTACACTGTTTAATGAACAAAAATGAATCTTTTAGAAACCAAATAACACTGGAAATCCAAATGAATGCTAAAACATTAGAGAAATACAGTTAGTTCACTTGGCCTTGTTATTCCCTCTGAAGGAACAAGATTGAAAGCAGGGCCTTCAGGCTTTTGCTGGAGTTAATGCAGTATATCAAGGAAGGAGGTTGGTTACGATTAAGAGCAGCACTTGCATCCATATAACTGGTTTTTACCTTGGGTTATGGTTTTTTTACAGGCCATGGGAGGGGAGACTATTCAAAGATGCTTTTTAATCTATTTACAGTACTGCCTATTGTTCCCCTTGTATCTCATTCTAAGGGCAAAAGGAAAAGAGCCACTCTACAGCACAGAAGTATGTGTGGTGGGATTTTAATAGCTTTTCATGTACTTTATATGTTGTCTTCAAACCACTTCCAAAACATTCTCGCTGAATCTGGAAAGTCACACGGGGCCTTTTCACAAATGACACGAAGGACACTCTTCACCTAGAATGTGTCAAGTGTGGATGTTAAAGCACTGTAGGGAGTGGAAGAGGTTTTATTTTTATTTTTTAATAGAGTCTTATGTTTGTGTCAGTTATACTCAATTCAACTAATGCACATGAAATGCAAATGCTGATCCCAGTTTAGAACAACCTTGTTTTCCCCAAACTATTTCCACTGTCATTAGGTTCAATTAAAAGATTCCCTTCTGAAGCAGTCCTTTCATGTACGGGAGGCTGCCTTCCCTGCTTCTGACTGTTCAGTTCGATGGTTACCCTTCCTTGCAGTGTGACATTGAAAAGCAAGTATGTCCTTATAAAGGGAAGAGATGCTCAGTTACACTGCTAGAGCAATACTAGTCAGCCCGTGAATGCAGTTGCACAGCAAAGGAGGAATGAAATTTGTACAAGTAGCTGCAAATTACAAAGAAGAACCCTCCTGTACATGTTTCTTTAGGCTAAGTCTGACAATGTCACGCATAGCAGTTTTAACAAACCATTCCAGTTCATTGCGCATCTTTATTCTGTGGGGAAACCACATCTAGGAAATTTCTCCAAATAATGCATCGGATGTCCTTGCTATAAAATGGTTATAACATCTTGTTTGGAATATTAAGCTCTACACACTGTTTGTTGTATACATTGTGTGGTGATGAATGACAATTAGATCATTGCCTGAAGTTAAAGAGGAAAGATTCAGTGCGCACCACAGTTAGTATACAGAGTTTCCTTTTCAGACTTTTCTTACTAATTTAATCCCAACATGAAAACTTGCTTCCTCATGATTAGGAAAACTTACATTTGTTATGAGTTGCTCTTATAGTTTGTTTTAACCCTTAAAGTTCCTTTTTTAAAAGTCAAGGTCAAATAGAATGGTATGTAACATATGTGCAGTCGACCTTGTTTTTTACTCTAAAGTAAACATGCAGGGCATCCACATCAGGACCCTGGTAGGAGAGACTGAAATCTCCCCTCACGGCCATGATTATTTTCCAAAATTTAGCCTCCTCCTGAAGGAGCTAAAAAACACCCCCCATTGATAAAAATGGGTGGTCTACCCCTTTTAGCCTGGGGGAGGGGTAGTGCGTTCCTAAAACAAATAGAAACAAAAGTTTAAAACACCTTAACCCATGTGTGCTGCTTCTAGCCCGGTTTGCAGAGTCTGCCCTGGCATTAGGCCAAGTGAAGTAGTTGCTTTGGGTGGTGGATGCTGGGAGATGACCACAAGATGGACAGGAGGACAGGACTGTGGTCCAGGCAGCCTTCTCTGTACCCCCTAAGTTAGCCTGCTGCCTTCAAGTCCAGCGGAAGATGTCCCATCAACAGCACTGAAAACAGATTCATTTGCCAGTCCAGTCACTGTTGGGCACAGAATGGGAGGGGGCATTACCTTGTTTTCTGCCTTGGGCAACAAATGTCTTGGGCCAGTCCTGAGGGAATAGGGCCCCACATACTTTCTCTAGTTGAGAAGAGGATCAGCTGCATATGCTATACTTAGTTAAGTTTCACTAATTTAAATGTGACTTACATCCAAAGAAGTGTACTTAGGAATTTGGTCTTGGGACAATTTGAGCCGGGGAAATCCAGCAAAATGAATGGCATGGATTAATGAATGGAAAACTCCAGAGCAAGAAACCCTGCATTGGTACAGTATTTCCCAGCTGGGGGAGTATTGCGCAACATCTATTGCACTGATGCCAGGTTCCACTCTACATAATCATTCTACACTTAGGAAGTGGTTACTTTTGGCTTAGATATAGAAGAGCCAAGGAAATAAATGCAGGAAGTTTGGCACAGTAGCCTACCCTGCATTTGCAGTAGCCTCAGCTGATTGATGGAGTCATTGCTGGCTAGAGGAGGTGTGTGGGGTGGGAAGGGCAGTAGCTATCGCCTGAGCATTCATTGCGGTGGCTGCACTGATCCTTGCATATCCGCCTCTGTGGCTTGTCAGCACAGAGAATCAACGTGGGCACTAGGCAGCCTGGTGCAAATGTTAATGCACTGCTGTTTTAAGCTTCAGATTGGCAGATCTTTGGGTCCACAGCCGTCTGTATACCACCTACAATACACTGATGCTTTCTTTTGTGCAATATTTGGGATAGACTGAAAAGCAGGTCTTCACATTGCACTAAGGGAGAAAATGTTATATGTGGAAGTGAAAGAGTTTTACCCACAAGTAAACCCACCAAGTTCATTTAGAAGTTAGACATTGGGTAATGTATACATAAGATTGTAATATTTGTCTGATGGGGCTGCAAAGGATTGTTAAAGCAGAATCTTATGACCCTATACTTTTTATCCCCCACCAGAGAGAGAGAGAGAGAGAGAGAGAGAGAGAGAGAGAGAGAGAGAGAGAATCCAGGAAAGTACAGGGTGAGCAGATCTGCCTCTTTGCATTTTTAGTGGATCTTTTGTTCAGTGGTTGCCAATGATTAACTGGTTTCTCTACAACTACAATTACTGTACACATCTAATGAAATGTAACAGCAAGGTTGGTGTTTGCAGTCTCTGTACAATGATACCAGTATAGAGGTGTTGGTGTCTAGTGCTGGAAATGCTACTAACATTTTGCTTGTCAAAAATTATGCAGGCATAAGAAGGTGCACTGCAGGCAAATAGTTTTTGGGTTTAGAGAAGCAATTGGCTATAACCTCCAATTACTTATAGAGGTCGTTCCACACCACTAATTAATACTTTCAAAATCTAGAATGTGGAGTGCAGTATTTTTACAAGGAAATGCATTGTGCAAGGCTTCTTACCCTAAGCTATTTGTACACTTCGATGGGTAAAGAGTTCACAAGATGATATTTAGTTTTACAATTCCATGTCAGGATCTGTATGCTATGGCCTATATGTCTGTCTGTCCATCCATCCATCCATCCATCCGTTTCTCAGTCTTTCTATTACAGTTATGTGCAAAATCTCTACGCATGTTACATAAACAGCAAATAAATACAGATGATGTTCAAGTACCATATCATTTTTGATGTTTTTCAAAAGAAGTGCCTGTGTCCAAATATACAGTGCTTCCAGTGTGTGTACACTTTTCCTTACATGGAAATACAGACTATGCTGCAATGAGACATGCAGCATCCTTTCATGGTTTCACATATGGGTCTCCGACTATGCAGAGCTCAGTTTGGAAAATTCTAGAACCTTTACTGTGGAACTGGTGTTCCCCCTCCTTCCCAAAAGGGCACTACTAATCCATTAATGAGATAATTAAATCAACTAATGTAGTCTTCACTTGAAGCAGTCCGTTGCCCCTTGACTCTTGTTATCTTTTGCAGAATAGACACTTCTGAAAAAGATAAATCAGAAGCAAGAAATGTCCTGAAACCTGAATTTTCCAGAGTCCCAAGCAGTCTGTATGAACTGGATGTCCTTAAAGTGTGAGAGCAGCAGCAGACTGTGAGTTCTAGCAAAATGTTTGTGGTTCCTGCCTTTGAATAGTGTAGACAGCAAAGAAACCTGCATGAACATTAACAATGACGAAGTATACCATTCGCCCTCATTTAAGTACCTTGCTCAAATTTCAAAGATTTCATCTGTGAGATTCTTGTACCTTAGCCAATTAGCTGATGCAAGCTACAGCCATCAGCATCTTCCTCTATCTTCCACGTAAAGGAATCTAAACCTTTACAGCAACAGGGAAATAAGAAAGGAGAAAAAGAGACAGTTGTATCTTTGCTCGGTTACCCATGATGCTACATCTGCAATAGTTTAGGAACTGAATAGGATTTTCGGCTCTTGGTTTGCTTATCTTTCATATCTAGAAGTTCCTACTTTCTTCATTTGTTTGATCATTCTATTATGGGAAAGCAAAATTCATATTCTAAGTCTTGTGCTTCAAGTATTTGCCATGGTGAGTGACATTTTTAAATGTATACTTCTTTATTGTAGACTTGACAGAGTTTCACTTGCTGCTGTGTAGAGTAATAAACTTCTGACCCTAAAAGGGAATTTCTGTGCTTTTAATAGGTTGTGTTTGTAGAATTCTGGTGCTGCAGTGATGGAACTGGCATCTGCTGAGCCATGCACCTACTGCATGGAGAAAAGAGCTGTTTCCTCAGCCTCTCAGCATTTTGAGATCAGATGACGTTCATCTCTACATGGGATATCTGGTCTAATGCAGGACACCTGAAGTCATGTTCTGTGCCTTCAGATGTGGAACCACTTTCATATAATTCAGCAGAAGGCCTCTATGGCTTTTACAATCTGTTTTATTGTTGAATTTGTTCCCCATTATTAAATTCTTCCCACAACAGATTCATAGAGCCAACAGAACATAGCAAATGCCCAGGTTTCCATGAATAAATTAATTCAGAAAAATCCTAAAGATCCCAGAGATAGCATCATTCTTTAGGTCAAGCTTTTCTCATCTCAGGAGTGTCTCATTTAGCCAAGTGTACCGCCATAGCATAGTGGTGGAAAGTAATGAAAGGAGCATTAACTTCTCCAGGCTTAGACATGCCAGTGCCTAAACCGCACATGTCAAAAAGACAAAACATACTGTGGCAGCCTGGTTTAGATGGCTTGAGATATGATGAAGTTGCATGGGGAACAGGAAGTCTTGTGTTACCCATTTCTGTGCATTTGCAAAGATGGAGGATCAGAGCTTACTGGTGGATAAGACAGTTTACATAAAGAAGGTTAAAATGCCATCATCTCCCATTGAAGATCGAAAGCAGCAGGAGTAGGAGACATGGTTTGCTTAAGACAGCCTAATTCTGCCTGTCAGTGCAGACAATATAGAGCTAAATGGATCCCTCTGGTGCAAGGATGTATTCAGATCTCCTCATCTGAAACAGAACTTTCATACATGTAGATATAAGAAGACTACACGAGGCAAGGAACAGGAAGCACAAGGCTCTTCTGTGTCATGTTCTCGAGGCAATTAAGTCATATTTGAAGCAATTCATCTTTTGGATGTGAGCATGATCCAGTGGTATGGGCATGAGATAGGCTGACTTGGATGTAATCACTTGGTAGTTGATCTAGGTCCCTCTTGGTATTTAGTAGAGAACCAATGTGGTGTGGTGGTTAAGATCTCAGGCAATCCAGGTTTGACTCCCTGTTCAGCCATGGAACCAACTGGGTCCAGTCACAGACTCTCAGCCCAACTGAAATTTTCTTGTGGATATAAGAGCAGGAGGAGGAGAAAAATGTAAGTCACTTGGAGTTCTTTGGAAAAAAGTGGGATATAATGCTAATCAACCAACCAACCAACCAACCCTCATCAGGTATGTAAAACATGTGGACCTCCAGATGATATTTCTACAATTTCCATCTTCCCAAATTTAGGATTGGTATTTTTGTGATTTCTTAGATCTTTTGGGGAAAACCCGTCTGTTTTCCAAGAGTTCTCTCCTGGCCTGTAATGTTGGTGTAGCCTTTCCCAATCTGGTGCCTTCTAGCTATTTTGCACAACAGGTCCCATCAGAGCCAGTCAGCATAGTCAACAGTCAGGATGATTGGAGTTGTAATTGAAGACATCTGGAGAACATGAGCCTGGAAGAGGCTAGTCTATGTGCTGATGGTGCCACAAGTATGGCAACTATTGGCTTTCCCCTTAGGAACTGAACTTTGCTTTCACTTGCTCTACACCCACCCCATACCACAGCCATGTTGTAGAGCTGCTTAGAAAATGATCCTGTCCCCAAGCAACATACTTTACAAGGAACCACAATCACCAAAAAAAAAAAAAAAAAATGCAGCAAACCATGGCCTGCTTAACACTGACTGAAGATATGCAGATGCTCTTACAACATTTCTTTCTGGAGACACTCTTCCAGAGGAAATGGTGCCCAGTTCATAATACAGCTAAACTTTATGACTTGAGCAACTTCAAGCCCCAGTAATCATGAATCTTAAGTATATTACTATTCAAAAAGAAACTAAATGTGGATTTCTTTCCACTGACAGTAAACTTTCCAGCACTGTTGGGCCCAAATTCTGACAATAGTTTTTGTCCAATGAACTTCTGAATTGTGGAAAGAATGCAAATAGCAATTTTCCACATCATACATGGAATAGTTCTAATTTTACTATACTTCTTATTGATTCTGGTTGTCATGGTACAACAGTCTACTGTAGGTTAATTTACCCACGGAACTGCCATGACTCAGGACAATGTTTTTGTATGGCTTGTTATAGTGTGTGAACCCAAGTGGCAGGGGCTGTTTGAGGGTTAGACAACACTCAGACAACCCCAAAACAAGCTCCTGCAGGTAAATTAAACCATGGTGGGCTGTCGTGTAATGTGAACCAGGCCATATTTATTTATTTAATTAATTTCTATACCTCCCAACAACTGAAGTTCTCTGGAAAGTTCACAGCAGTTATGGCCATATCTACCGCTGTAAGTCCCACAGCCTTCCACCAGATATGAAAGTGCAATTTGGCATGCAAATAAATGTATCGATAATTACCGTATGGCTAAAAATGAAGGATGTTGTTTGCTTGAAATGTCTGTATAAAGAACAAAGGGGCTGAGTTTCTACATCCTAATTTAGAGGCCATGTTATTGCTCATTTGCAAATTAACATCTTTCTTTACTGGCATAGCTTGTTTAACAGAGAACATGATTCCTTAGCAGTTGATAAAAGCAATGCTTAGACAATTTTTACAATGCATCCCATTTACTTGAAGAGTGTAATGGCTCCTTCTGAGCCGTATGTCATGTAAATAAGTATTTCAAACATTTTTTAACATGCATATTATGTACTCCATAGATCAATGGCTCCTTTGAAGTGCTTGCACTTTATCTTGTAAAGTCGCATTTAGACTTTTTAAAAAGATGCATTATTTATTCAATAGGCTATCACTTCTTTCAGAGATCCTTCATTCTATCATCTAAATATGTATTTAGTCCATTTAAAGATAAATATCTCTTCATGTCGTCAACAGATTGGAAGAGCTCTACTGGAAATATTAATCAGGAAGAATATGTTCAAGTGCACCAAAAGCATAAACCAATGTGACTTGCTGTGGAATGTGTGTTTTTCATATTTGTTGCCTTTTCTCACCACCCACAGCCTTGCTGGTTCAGAACCAATTTGGCCTGGCAGTAAAGTTGTTATACTAAATTGGAAGCATCGCACATGCTGGTGTCATAAATGCTGCAGATTAACTGTTGTGACAGGAGCCCTCTACAAGCAGAACATGCAAGACGTTGGGAGAGGAGAAGACTCCTGGCTGCATGGGCACAGAAACATAATGCACATGTTCACGGTGACTTCCTGCATGCTCTGGGACCATATGGAAGGAACAAGAAACACGCTGGCAATGGAAGCAGCTGCAAACTCCCCTGCCCTGATGAGTTAAAAGGGCTAACAAGCACCGGATCCCCCAGTCAAATACACCCTGCCTTGGGTCCCAGTCCAGGCTTCCAGGGTTTCCCACAAGGCCTGACCCCCTTTCCCCTGACTTGTTTGGTAGTCTCCCAGCTGCCCCCTCCCCCTCATATTTCTAAAAGGTTGAAATGCCTACTCCAAGGCTTAGTTACTGCTAGAAGGGCTTGGTATTTTGGGATCAACCCTTCTGCCTTCAGCCCCATCCACTACTGGAATCCCAGTACGCAATCCCGCCCACCCCACAGCCCCAGAGCTTCTTTGAAATGGAATGTGGCCCTTGTGCTGAAAGAGCTTCGGTCCCCCTGAGTGAAAGTATCCCCTAGCCATCACCCAGACAACTTTACTATCCCCCACCCCATTTTCTGAATCAAGCATGTTGGAGACCAGATTTAGCAAGAGATATTGCTGGGGCTTCTGATACATTCCATTCTGGTTCCCTTCAGAGTGACTGGTAGGCAAATCAATTTTAGCTGTTTATTTTTACATGGAAGTCAGTAACGGGATATGAAGAATATAATTATCCAGCTACTGGAAGTAGGTTCAATTGGTTAGGGAGTTTCAGGGCCTCAATCTAAAGAGAAGGCTGACATGTCCAAGGGCTTCACTTGCTGCTTCACTGAACTGGTTTATTGCAAAAGGAATCAAACAATCACCTGCTCTCTGGTGGTAGTGGCCAAAGAGTAGTATCAAGTATTTCAGCTACCAGCTCAGCAGTCATCAGGTGATACCAGGATCAGTTAGGTTTCATCTGACCTTAAACATTTGCTGTCTCAGGTCTAGCTACTCAGATCATTGCTCAGCACAGACTGCCGCTCCCCACAGACTGCCAGATGCACTTAGACCCAACAGGGTGCTCCAATGGACCTCTCAACTGGGAGAAACCATCAACTCTACCCTGGCCGGTCCATTTGTCCCAGTTTCTTGCATCTCTTACTCGCTCCCCTCTACTTCCAGGTGAGTGGAAGCAACAGGACAAAGTGAGATGAATACTGAGAATGCATACAGGAGAATGGCAATTCAGATTTCTAAATGCCATCTGGAATCCTAGCCACCTCCGTCATGTTTTTTATCAGTTGGACTCAGTGATACCTGTCCCAGAAAATTTCATCCCAAGGAGGCCTCTTTTCCTACAGACTTCAGTGGAACAGGAGTTCATCCTTTGTCCCAAATGAAAACTGCATGCAGTGAAGCTTTATTTGTGCAGAGTGGCACAGGGCACAATTGCAGAGGAGCATGGTATGTCCTCACTCCCTGACAGACTTTTGTGTACTGTGGATTTCACTGGTGCTACCCACACTTCTTGGCTCAAGAATCCATTTCTGTTCTCACAGACAGAGAAAAAGTGACCAGAAATGTCTAGAAGTGGTACAGCAGCATAGGAGTGATTGAACAGATTTGCTTTCTCCTTGATTAATTTAAAAATGGTGTCTCAAATTTCTTGAGACAATGGAGATCATACAAATTGCCTGTCTGATTTCCATTTTACCAGCCCTTTATTTATTATATTTATGCCCTGTGTTTTCCTTTCCAGGGACTCAAGGCATCATATAATATTTCTCCTTCGCTTCTCAATCTTATTCCCACAACAACAACAACCCTGTTAGGTAGGTTAGGCTGAGTCTGCGATTGGCCCAAAGCCACCCAGTTAATTCCATGGCTGAGTAGAGACTAGAACCCAGAGCCCAGATTCTTTGTCCCACACTTTAAACCACCACACCACACTGGCTCATTCCTTACAACTGTTTACTGGTTCTTTAGACAGTGTTATGATGCTTCAATTTCACTTCTGTTGTTTATGAGCACTTTACTGTGGGAGCAGAAGGGCAGGTAGAACAGGGGAAAAGGAGTATCTTTTGTAAAAGGGGAAGAAAAAGCATTCCTACTTACGCAGCTGCGATATTCTGCTATAGCACAGCACTGCCTGGAGGATATATAGCAGAAAAGCAGGAAAGAAACCCATCTTTGTGTAAAACTGGGATCTCAGTTCTGTGCTGAAACTGGGGGTGAACAGCCTTGTACAGAAAAGCTCTATTTGTTGTCTACTTCAGCTGAATTTGTGCAAGGCCATGAGCTAGCAAGTGAGCATGGTGTACAGTAAACAAGCCTCAGGGATTTCCCTAATCTGCACTCTTAGTCTTTTGTTGTGCAGCAGGAAGGGAAGAGAACGGATGCTTCTTTGGTTTAAGGGCTGTTGTGCAGAGAATTTCATTGCAGAGGAAAAAATGCCTGTTTTATAAGGACTTTTCCAGGCATTTTATTTCTCTGCTTTCTATGAGTATATCCCATTTAACCAACCACAAGGAGGAGCTGTGTTATAAGGGCAGTATGGCAAAATTTCATCTTTTCACGAGGTTTTTGTTCCAGTTTGTCATGATTGAATATGTAATATCAGATTTTTCTCACCATAAAAGGAGGGGGGCATGAAAAAGTCTGGAAAACTTGGGAAAGGCCTTGCAGGACAATGATGGTATGATTGGCCCCACAAACTATGGTGGTGAAGGGATTGCATGGGCCCAATCAATGTTCCATGTAGAGAAGTGCATAAAATGTAGTCTTCGATCTTTAATATTGAACCTGAAAGACAGGGGGTGGGGGGGAGTCTATCCATTTTGTTTGTGGATTCTTTATTGATCTGATCAGTGCTTTTTTTGTAAAAAAAAAAAAAAAAAAGGTGCCGGAACTCACGTCCCTGCTGGCAGTAAGCACACACACCAATCCCAAGCCGAGCAGTGAGCAGTGTCCCAAGCAGCTATCTCTCACTAGCAGGCAGCAAACACAATAGCAGCCTGCAGGCACTACATTAATGATGTTTGCTGCTGATCTGCTACTCAGTTCAAAATCACTTCGTAAAATCCATTGAAAAAAAGGTGCCGGAACACCGTTCCGGTGCATTCTATGACAAAAAAAGCCCTGGATTTGATCCATCTTGTGTTAGGCTTCTTCTTCTATTTATTTATATCCTACCTATTCCCTGTGTTGGGACTCAAAGGAAGCTCACTGCATCACCTCTGGTCGTATCTGTAATCAAAGGCAGTAAATATAATATAATTTTATTTATTTATTTCTAGATATATAAAAGGCTCCCATAGCCCTATTCGTATCTCTGGGTGGTGTGCAAAATAATAATAATAAGCTGATTGTTATTAAAGTATTTTTAAAATCACATGAAAGACGGCAGTCCATAGACTGCTCCATCCTATTCATCCATCCATTCAGTCATTTACAGAACAAAATGGTTGTTTCTCTCTGCCTAGGGAGAAGGAGAATTGAGGACTGATCCACAGGAAAATGTTGTCCTTGTTTAAAAGTATAAGTTTGCTGTACTGCAACAGTCTCTTTGGAGGACATTAGAGTGAAATATTAAAAGCTTTCACTGAAATAGAAAATGTGCAACCCTAATAGGAAGAAATCTGAAATTACTTTCAAACTACTTGGCTCACAGAATTCAGTTTGAAAAATCTTATTTAAATGTTGTTTGCACACACATTGTAATGTCCCTTTGTGTTTATTTTAACAGAGATCTCATCCCTGGCTATGGAAACAATTTCAAAAAATACAACCAGGGGATATGGGGAGAGTTCAAAATATCCACATTTTAAGAAAAGTTTAAAACATTGCCATATAAAAGTTCTGTAGCACCTGCTAATATATTTTGGACATGGGGCTTTGCCAATGTATCTCTGGGTCAGCAGATATTTTATGACTCAAATACACCTCTAATGTTTCTCTAAGACCCTGGCATCTGTAAAAACAGGCTACATGCCATACATTTGAAATGGAACGTATTACAGACTTCCCAAATTTCAACTTGAACCAGTTCTGAACTCATACTAGAATGTGAACAATAAATATATTTGCATATACTTACCTATTAGAGAACAGGATGAAAATGCATCTGATGGCAAAGGGGCACATAAGAGTAATCATAAAAGCACAGGGAACCATTTAGGGAAAAGAAACTGAATCCCTAAAATGCCCACAGCCTAGATTTAGCCTCAATCTGGGCTTTGGAAGCCCCTCCACACACAACAATTTCCCTGTGTGGGTTTGTAGGGCAGGAATAACTGAAGTTTCTGATAACTGGTAAACAAACCTGGTGAGATATTCCTTAAAAGCCATCAAGAATGTAGGGCAGTCATCGATAGGTCCCACAAGAGAATTCTGAGGAAAAACTGGGGACCACTGCAGTGGATGGAAAGTGTATTTCAGAAAAGAATAACAAAGGTCCCAGGAACTGGGGTCTGAGGACAGAGGGAATTGTGGAAATGCAACTGGTGAAGCAATGACAAGAGAATAACTGAAATGCACATGAAGTAGCCCAAGAACAAGCATAAACCATCAGAACCAAACTCTGCTTGCTCATTGATATCAACTATATGCATAGCCCAGTTAACAGATGTGTGTTGAAGTTCCTCAGTTTCTAGCTGTCAGCTGTGTATTCACATGTCTGAATAGCTATGCTCAAAGGCCTACACTCTTCTGAAAACGTTGCTTGCCATCTAATGTGTTGGAGTAATAGGATATACTTTTCTAAGAAGTTAACAGGAACTTGGCTGCTGTCTTCTGTAGGAAGAGGATTAGGCACTTATGAGATAGTTTGGATTTATTTTGCTCCTGTTGTTAAGTCTGAGTGTTAAATATGACCATACTATCATGCTTTGTTTACTTGGATTCACGGAAACCTTAAAACAAATACTTAATTCCAGGTAAGTCTGAGGTTACTAACAAACCCTGCTCTGTTCTCTGTCAGACAGGTGTGAGGGAACACCTGTGCAACTCTGGATAGAATCACCATTTTGTGGGGTGGGGCAGTGCTGGGGGGGAGGGCAAATCCTGCTCAACAAGGATGTCAAACCAATCTTTGTTCAACTCTTGGCTGAAAGTATTTCTGGTAACAAACTGAATATGGGCAAACAAACAGCTCCTGCTCCCCCCCCCCCCCCACTGCCAATTTGCAGCTCACTACAGGCACTTCTTATATGAGGCCAAAGTATGGAGTCAGTGTCAACAGAAGGTAAGGGGGATGATTGTTATTTAAACAGGTGTGTGAGGTGTTGCTACACCAAGAGTATTTAAGGGTTACTAGAGAGAGCAGGTAGGACAGAGCTGTGCATGCCATAAGCAGAGCTCAGCGCGTTTATCGGCATAACAATCACATATGGTGGAAGGTTTCTCAATGAGCTACACTGATTTAGCTATTTTGCTTAGCCACATTATCACCTTATCTTTTCTGCCAGAAAAGTAAGGAGCAAAAATGCCAAAAGCCAGGAACCTTGCCTCAATAGTAAATACATTTCACTATACAAGCCAGAGTGAAAAATCTCATTTACCTGTAATTCCTCATTTCCATCATGACATACAAGAAAATAACTTTTCTTCCTAAGCTAGACAATTATTTCTGTAGAGCCATAGAAGTGACTTACCTCTTTGTGTTACTTTGTGTATGTATTTCTTTATTTCAAACAATCGTTTGTTCATTTGCTCAGTCAGCTAGCAAGGCTTGGATACTTCCCACCTACTAATGTCATCTGGGTAGTTAGCAAACCTCGGGCATGAAAATATATTAATGCTGTACTGAACTGAAATGCTCAGTTATTTCACCCACCTGAGAATCAGCTATATTTCGGAGGTGAGGCAAAATTCTTTGGCAGAAAAGACATTCAGAGCATTCCCCATTCTGTTTTTTCCAGAAAGCCCTCTCCTGAGATGTCTGCCTATCTTGTCACCCACTGCGTGCCATTTAAGTGCACAGCAAAGTGAATATTTACAGAACACACATATGCACTTTTTACAGAGTGGAAAGGTTGCTCTTCCAGCACTGCATTTTATTCAAGTGGGGCAGTACGTTTTAATATCCTTCTGAAGAAAGAAGCTTGGAGCTTGTTAAAAATAAAAAGTCACAATGTGCCATTCCATGTAACCCTATTTTTAAACCTGAACTGCTAAGGAAAAAAAATTGAATTTCTTTATAAGACTATCTTGTCAAATAACCCTTCAAAGATGCTTTATGCAAAGCTTTTAAGGGCATCTTAAGGGTGCGGAATCAGAGAGTAACAATACAACCCTGTGTATTTCTACTCCGAAGTAAGCCCATTGAATTCCTACATAAGCCTGCTGAAAAATCAGTGAAATCAACTGGCTAGAAAAGCTTTCTAGAACAACTGTATGCCCAGAGCAGAGAATGAAAGGAATTCCATTAAGTTCTCTATCCAATGGCATGGAGGTCCACTATCCAATGGCATCCACACCAGTGGGGACACAGGCCTGTTGCTGCAGCTCTGGACATTTGTGCAGTGACTTATCTTAATTTCCTACTCACCCCAGGGTAAAACTCATATTGCTACAAAACGTTGTAAAACCAGTTTGACCAGAGACCATGATCAGAGACAAAAGAATGAGGGTATGGCGGGCAACAGCAGCTGTGCACTATCACTTCCAAGCCTTTTGGAGCTATTTCTGTATCTCGCTCAGAGCGCGGGGGAAGACAAGTGTTAAACACCTGGGTATTAACATCAGAAGAGGGCTCAGGGGATAAATACGGCTTTGTTCAGATTTGGTCCTATATATGTATGTGTGAAATAATGAGAGAAACATGTAAATCAGTTTCTTTGTTTTCCATTTTCAATAGTAAAGCTAGCATCTGTTAGAGGTTATACTTCCGAAAATGTTGCTGACTCTCTCTGTGTCTACTATATAGAGAGGGGGGCAGGGGCACACACAAAGTAGCCTTTTCCAACCTGGCCTTTCCCCTTGTGGTTTTAGACTACAAGCTCCATCAGCTCCAGTCAACATAATTGTCAAAGTGATTGGAATTATAATTCACAACATTGAAGGCCACCGGCACGGGGAAGACTGCCTCATAGCAAGTCACTGATGTATTACAGGCTCCCTGGCTGTGGCTAAAGGAATTGTCATCTTGCTGGTCTCCTGAACCCTGTTTTGCTCTGTGGACCTTGTCCAGACTAGGAAACAGACTAAGTGCAGGGTCCAGGTTTTACTCATACAGATCCAGTCATTAGATGGTCTCAGGCTAATCACACTTTCCGTGTTTTATATCCTGCCTTTTTTCCTCTTCCGAGGAACCCAAGACAGCTTACACAGCAGCATTTTATCCTCAAAAGCCTGAGAGATAAATTGGACTGAGAGTCTGTGACTTGCCCAAAATCACCCAGTGAGCTTCATGGCCAACTGGGGACTACAACCTGGATCTCCTGGGTCCCTAGTCCAGCACTCTAACCACTACACCACACAGGCTCTCATGCTGGATTCAGATTTAGTCATCAACAAAATCTTGATCTAGCCCCTCATCCTTAACTTGAAAATAACTCTGGTTCACTTCCTGCTGAGGTGAAGCATGCCTGTATGTTAGTGCTGCAGACGGAAGGTAGGGCATGGGATGCCTGCATGCTCCTTCATGCAACTTCCCCAGATGTCTTCAGTGTAGGTACCCAGATGTTAAGGAGAACAGATATAATGCTAATCCTCCTGTCATGCTAGTTTTCTTTATGCAGGGGTCTTTTGTATTAAGGAACAGTCAATCATGTGAGTCCCCCTTTGCATTCTAAAAAGTGGTACACTGGACTAAGGTTTACCTTTTCAGTTAGAACGAGGCCTTTGATGTATGTACCTCAGAGGATTGTTGATAGGATCCCTGTGTTTTAAAGCAGATTGCCGTTTTTATTTTTCAAACATATCTCTGACATTTTAATGATTTTACAAAATCCTCCAGTGAAATCACAATGTTTCAAGAGAAGCCAGGTGGGAGATGAACTGTCCCTTGGATTCCATCAGCACATACTATTACATCTTTATATAGACCATTTAATGTGGAAGATAGGATTTTTTAAAAAGCAAACAGGAACTAACACCTGCAAAACAATTGGCATCAGGTAGGCACTGCTATGTAAAAGAAAGCCCTTTTCATAACCAAGCAGAAGCAGCTATAACAGTAGCTGGTCAGTTGCAAAGGTAGGTCAAAACGTAGAAGCCAGCAGCATGTGAGTTTGTACTGAAGGTCTTTGTTCTTCTTTTTTGCATTTCTGTATATGGAGCACTTGGCCGTTATTCTTCATGATGCAGAAGAACTTGCTTGCTGCTTCTCCAGAGGGTAAGACTAGGTCTCATGAGCTTAAGTTGAAGATTAGTAGATCCTAGCTGGACAAACCTCTTGTGGGTAGGAACAGTTTAACAATGGAAACAATTGCCTAGAGCAAGGGTGAGCAGACGGTAGATTTCCAGTTGTTCGGAACTTTAGCTCCCCAGTTCTCCTGGCCAGTACAGTCAGTGGTCAGAAAAATGTGGAGCTTAAGTCCAAGACATCTGGACATCTGTCTTCTGTGCTCTCCACTGGATGCCTACAGGAAGTGGCTGAACAGCCATTTCTTTGGGATTTTCTACCTCTGCCATGAACAGGGGAATGGATTAAATGACCTACAAAGCCCCCTCCAATTCTAGGATCCCATGTCTTTGTTCAAGCAAAGATTTGAACATAGAGTTTTAATGGCGTCAGATCCAGCTTTTGAGGGCCCTCAGGCAAGGCACTCTGAATTGTCCTTTAGTAAGTCTACTTTCTCAAGAGTTACTGTAGCTCTTCATCCTTTTTCTTATCATTGCTGCCACTTGCTTGCTTGACAGGCGGGGAGTGAACGAGCAAGTAGGGACTGGATGTCACTGCCATAGCTGTTGAGCCGCAAGGGAATATTGGCTAGAATAGCATCATCACACTTCCTCTTTCTCTCCAACTCTACAGGGGCATATGAAATAGCCACATTGTCCCGCAGCATAAAATGCACAAACATGGGAGTAGGGTGAGAATCTCATATTTTCACTACTGATAGAGGCAGCACAGCAGTCAGGGAAGAAACTGACCAGGGCATAATAGACATAATGATCTGAAACACTGGAAGTGCAGTCAGCCTATGTTTAGTCATAAAGAAAAGGCTGGATAGAAATCCAGATCAAATAGATCATAGACTACACACAGTATATGTATTTGCAGAAGATGCCATGATACAACCTTAAATAAACGTTTTAACATAATTTTTGTCGTGGGGTATTCTTTCATGACATCATGAAAGAATCTTTTCTCTGGAGTTTAGATCTCAAGGAATCTGCATCTCATCAGATTTCCAGTGGGTTTCATCCAGACTTGGTCAAACTTGGGGCTGCCTCACTGAAATCAATGCCCCCATTAATTTCAGAGGGTCTTTGGATCCAAACCAGTAAATTTATATAAGACAACATAATAGAAATCTCTGCAAATGACTAAAAGATGATGCAGATGACAGAACTATCATATTCACTTACCAAATTGTTTTCAGCTCTTCTTTCAAGAATTATAAACATCAAGCAAATAAAGTGACTTTTACTCTGGCATGATTACAGAGTCTGCTATAAAGGCTTTTAATGAGCAGCCTTTAAAAAAAGCCAAATAAGCAGGCAGTGATGAAACATAGCTGCCTAAATTGTCCCTCCCCCTGTAGTCTCCTAATCCACCTCAAGTTACTCTGTGTGTTTACTTTCATTTGTGAAGCATTCGAGGAAACGTTTATTTTTGAAACCAAAACTGAGCTGGGGAAAATTCTGATGCCAGCCAGAATATAAGCACCCACTCCATCCATCCCTGTAGGAGGAAATGGGTCTGGAAGAACTCATTTGGGGCTGGACGGGATGCAGCAGAAGGGATGAACACTGGGGAAACCTTTGCTGCATGGGCAGAAATCTCTAACATTATATGTTAGAGATAGCCTAATGATGCTGAAGTCACCATGGGTAGAAATTTATGCTCTGAGTGCTTTCTCTCAGTATATTTTGCCATCTGATCTGGCTGCACTGTTTGAACAGGATCTTTTACAGTATCTTGGAGGATGCCAGGGCACAATGCACAGAATCAAAAATTTCAGCCCAGCAATATCTGAAACAATAAGCTGGATACAGATTTACTCTAAGCATGACTAAGTCTGCATCCCACCCATTCAACAGGAGTGTGGGCCACACCTCTGAGCCTGAATGTTGCTTTGTTTGAGCTCCAAGCATCCTGATAGGTAGGTTGTTAAACTGGACTATACCCAGACCTGTTCATGTATGATAGCTGTGAATTGTATATAGCTGTGAATTGTGTGTACTGGTGTGAATTGTTTATATTGTTGCTTTATTGTTGCATTTTGTATATTATTCTTTCATTATTTTTATTGGTATATTTGATTTTGTTATTTCATAATCTGCCTAAAGAGTTCTTTAGGACTACTAGTTGCAGAATATGAGTTTAATAATAAATGAATAAAATAAATAATCTTCTTTTAACTCTGTCCATGTTGGTGTCCATTGCAACATCTTATAGAAGTGAATTCCATATTTTTAACTATGCAGTATGTGAAAAAGTACTTTCCTTTTGGTTCTGAATCTCCCACTAATAAGCTTCATTCAATGACTGTAGGTTCTAGTAGCACAGGAAAAACATCTCCCTGTCCAGCATTTCCACACCATGCATAACTTTATACATCTCTATCATATTCCCACAACCTACACATTTTCCCTTAATTAAAAAGCTATGAAAAGTGTACCAATGAATCACTATATCCATATCTGATAAATTCATCCCAAAAATAAAAAACAACATATTTCACTCTGGGTGGTTAAGAAATGCACTATAAGAAATGCAACTTTTTTTATACTATCATGCTTGGCTGAACTGACATGGGAATATTAACTTCAGTAACCGTGCAGACAATTCTG